GCGGCATGGAAATGATTTTATAATACAAACTTATTAAATGTAAAATTTTTTGCTAAAATTCCCATGCGATTCTAGATTAGGCACACAATTGCTCCGCAGTCGCATCTATCTACATTAGGATGGTCCAAAAATCGAAATATCGAAAAAATATGTTAAAAAAATTACAGGTCGTTCAAAACCCTGAAAGTTTTCGATGTTTTTTTTTAATGTGGAAAAAATATTTTTTCGTAGAAATGGTATAGCACGCTTGCAAATCTATATTTTTTAATTGGCAAATTCTCTTTCTGACCAGGAGACTTTACGGAATAATACCCAATTACTTATTTAATAATTTCTTTATGTCAAGTATTTTTATGGGTCTCGAATAACCCACAAAAATGTAATTGGTCCCCTATAAAATATCGTTAATTTAAAAAATTGTTTAAATAAACAACTGTGTATTATTCTGCGAAGTCTCTTGAAGAGAAGCATAATTTTGCGATAGAAAAATATGGAATTTTAAGCGTTCTATACCATTTATAAGATAAATAGTTTTCCGCATGAAAATTACATGGGAAGCTTTGAGCGCTGTGAGCGATAACTATCTAAATACTTTCTGATTTAAAAGAGAAAAATCAGAGATCTATTTCTTTTCGATATAGCACAATTATAGTGGTGAGCGAATTGAAATGCCTACATTACTTTTCTCACATGCATTTTTGGACCACCCTAATGCCCATACTTAATTGTTCAATAGTACTCCACTGCGTATACTTGACGCTTAAATCAGTTTGCAGCTTTTAAGGAAAAATGCTCGTACGTATCTAAATGCCAGTTTGCAGCTCTCAAGAAAAATTAGAAATTCAAAAGAAAGTCAGTTCGAAGCTCTCAAGAAAAAAATGCTCGTACATATACATATTATTTTTTCAAGAAAACTTACAGCAAAGGCAAAGTACATTTCCAGGCAACAGCAAATGTTTCTTGTGTTCCGGAGAACTGCAAGCAGTCCTTTAAAGTTAAAAATATTATTGATGAATATACATACATATGAGTGTATATATGCATGTACATATGCACAATAAGGGTAGTATATCAGTGTCCATAAGGAACAACAGCTAACAGCTTTTTAGGAGACATAATTTACACCAAACGAACGGTTGTGATCGCCTCATTAATACATTAAAATGAATTGTCACCAAAATTGCGGTTCATGAAATATTTGCAAATGTAAGCGAAATTGCACGCGTTTTTTGAAATACATTTCTAATCCGTATGCAAACAAACTTTATTTATTGCGTCCCCAGCGGAACGTTGGATGTTTACTTTGGCAAAAATGTTTCGAATGAACTCCAAGTTCAAACAAATTTCAAAATTATGCGGGATATACTCGTAATAACCCTTCAAAACTTCATTGCAATTTTGAATGGAAATTAGTTGAGGTATTGTGAAAATGGTTAATTTCCATTTACAAAAATTACGTGGTCAGTGCTTATATCCCCTAGTTTGGATGGTCCTCTAGTTAGGATGTCGTCGTTTATCCGAAGGTCTAAAAGAACAATTGCTGATTGCTGTTGAGACCGATCGGCCTGCCAGTAAGAACCGAAATTTCTCAAGATCGTCGTCATAAAGCTCGGCATACTTGTGACAATGAAAGTTCTGAGTATAGCTAAACAACTACACAAGCGCTCGGGGTTCACACTAACCTCTAAATAGCTGTCGGAGTGAACAGTGCCTTCTTGTTGTATTTTATATTGAAATCTTCCACTGTACGACGTATGAGGGAGATTTCTACCGTGGATCTCAGAAACTGTTGGCCGATAGAGTGAGTAGTGTCCGTAAAGGTAGGCCCTGACCAACCATTTAGAAGCGCAAGGGAGTAGATGAGTATCGGTATTTATGAGAGACGAGCCTCAAAGCTTACCGCACTTTCTGTTCCGCCGATTCGATAGATGCGACTATTGTTCTGTCATTTTCTTTGCAACCTCCATTTAATATTGAAAATTTATCTGTTAGCAATCTGGGCAGATTCCTTTAACTACAAATTTCGAAAATCAGAAATGAATACTACTTTCCTTATCATATTTTAATTTGTTATATTTTTACTTCTAGGTGACCTCAATCACTGCTGGCGTCGTTATGATGGCTACAATTTACAAAGCACAATGGTTAATAAAAAAGAACAGTTGAAGAAGCCTTACGGTATACTGTGCAATTTCAAATGTACTTGGTTTTTTACAATAAAGTAAGTAAAATAAAAGTTTAATTGAAAATTAGATACATATGTGCATATTTATGTATATTTTTCATATATTTTTTTTTAAACAACTATTTGTAAAATTAACTAACGTATTATTCCAAAAAGGGTAGTAGTGGTTAGAAATGCGCAATACTATTTCGCTTCGACTTCGACTTTCCTCAAAACCAAAAGAAAATAAAATATATTTTCTATTAGCGATCGTCCCTTGGCAGGCAATGGAAATCCCCTCTCTAGTTTATTTCTTGTTTTATTCAAATTGATTTAGAAAAGATTTGCTGTGGCGACTGGAATGCAAAGGACAGCTGGAACCATTTATTTCAAATGAGGAAACGCTGATCTGTAATCTCCCCTTTTATCTTAGAAATGAGCTAACAAAAAAGCGAAAGGCAGATTTTAATTTATTCATTCAAATCAGAAAAAAAAAAATATTATCTTTACCAGGAGGTAATTTAAACGGTAAGCTTAGCTAAAAAAACCTTTAAGGTACAGTTTAAAGTCTGAGTCATGATTCGAGTCCAGAGCCTTTTCTATCCGGAAAACCAGCATCACTGAGGAACACCGATAGTTCACAAAAACCAAAAGAATTCTTTACAAGCAAAATTTTTTCGCTAACTAAGGAGATCCATTTTGGGGAGGAGAAAAATTATCCGAAAAACTTTTTTTTTACGAAAGAATTGTCATAATATAAGGATTATTTGTTTAAAGATAATACTTCATGCTTATAATTTTCTTACACGTAAACAAATCTTCAAGCATACTTTGTATGGAAGAAAATGCTTAGAGCCGTTAGCAAAAAAAAAAATTCAAAATCAATGCTAGTTCTTAGCCAATTCAAACATGCGCTTTACTATAAGAAAAGTGGTTTTAAAAATTATTATTTAAAATTTTTGTGAAAATTTTAAAGTTTTATTCTTGTACAAACTTTGAAATGCTGTTCTATGTGACGTTTTTTATACACATAATGAAATAGGATTTTATAAAGAAATAATAAATATTAAATAAACAAATGAAAAATTACCAAAACTGCTCAAAGTATCGTACAAATATTTGTTTGCCAGTGCGGGTCTGTATGTGCATGTGTACGCGCAGAAAATCTTCACCTAAAAACATTTTTCTCCTCACTTGGCCGAATAAGAATGTATTTATAACTAAACTCTTTTCTCAGTGCAAATACATATGAGCAGGGTACAATAAGCAGGTGAAATAATAAAACAGCGTTCGCGTGCATTTTCGGATATTTGACCGCCTTGTATAAATTTTCAAGGACAAACATTTCAAAGAAGACAGAGCTAAATCAATGGAAAATCTCTCATCTCGCTCCACCTGTTAAAAAACCCACCCTGCATGTACTTACGCGTATACCAAAATACCAAAAAGCAATGAAGACTACCAATTCTTTTAAAATTTTATCATACATATTTATATACACATTTATTTTTTTTCTTTGCAGTTTTCCAACATGTGAATTCATTTATGACTACAAACTTTCTTGCTACTTATTTACATCACTGCCGGATTGTACTACGGTCAAATGTACGCTTTTGAATTTTTTTACATAAAATATAGACAAAATTTCGCATAGTCAAATATAGATAAAATTATTTATGTTATAAATATATGTATGTATTTTTAAACAATTTTAATTTAAGACATTTTTGTAAATGCTTTAAATAAAACTAAGTTAAGTGTAAATTTTTTAAGCAGAATAAAATAAATTATTTAAACAATATCAGTGAAGTATTGTAGTAGAATAAAAATTGTGAAAATTGGTTGTTGGTTTTATTATTCGTTTTTCGTTGGCGCATGAATTGTTGCCATGTCCAACTTGATGATAGTTAATTGTGACAAAAATCAGTAGCTAAATTGCGCTTTCAATTTCCTCTCAGTCCTGAAAAGGTCCTGCTGTATGTATCCTTTCATAATATCAGCACATATGTATGTAGCACACCAAAAGCACCAGCGTTGATGAAATAGAAAATTTGAAAAATTCACTCGTATTTGATCACTCTTCATTCGGAATCGCCAATTTAAGCGATAGGTGCTCTGACTGCACTCTATGCACCCGCCTGCCTGGTAAATTACACCGCCTAATTTGAGTGCAATAAATTTTATTAGCTCATACTGTTGTACATTTATATTTATAAGTGTGTATGTGTGAAAAATATTTAGATTAATTTGAATCCACTGAGTTAATCATGAGAGAGATATAAAAATATTTGCATTTGCTTATTCAAAAATATCATAAGGCAAATTCCCTTAAAACAAGCATACATATATACATATGTACATACATACATCCATGCAAAGGTATTATTTTTTATGCTTTACTGACCCCTGAAAAAATGTGAAACTTTCAATGTCATTTCAATTGGCATTGCTTACTGCTGGACTTAAAACAACATAAATTCATATACCTAAATATAAGTATATACTTACAAACAAACATACTTACTGTACATATGTAGATGTATGCGACGTTCATAAAAATTTGTCTCACATTCATACTAACTACTTAAAATGTTGGAGGGTAGTTAAACTTTTGCACACCGAAAAAAAAAACACATTTGCACTTAATTCACTTGCACTTATTCGTATATATATAGTGCTCGTATTTAATAGCGTAGTAAACAAAGCACCTACTACTATTTACAACTATACAAATGTACTTTTGAATGAATCTTTTGGCGCTTCTGCTTGACAAAGTTGTGGTATTAAATTTATTATTTAAATGGGCTTTATGTGAGAGGGTCGCTTTGTAATGCTTTCCAGCTGTGAAAAGTAAGAGTGCCATATGTATATATAGTATATACGCACATAAAAAGGGTTACTTAAATCAACTTAGCAAATTATTGCAATGTCATGTCGCAACTCAAATACTTATGTATGTAGTTGAATTATGGGAAATTGTTTTGTTAAAACCAAAAGATATGACTCGCTCACGCATTTACATACATATATTTTGCACCATTTTAAGGACAGATGTACTCTAAATAAAAGTGGATAAATTCTTTCTGATTGGATTTTTATTAAAAAATAAAAAAAAAATGCGTCTCTAAATAGGCGTAATAAATAAGTGTAGCATTCTTATGCGTGTACAAATTGTACACGGAAACGACAGAAGGTCCGTTGTATGGTTTGCAAGTATGGGAAGAACGACTAGAAAGCGCTGGTTATCTCTAATGAAAAATCATTGACATACCAAATTGATTAGTAATAATTTTGATAACTTTTGCAAAATATTCGAGAGAAAGGTTTAGCGTTAGGTACTTAAATAGGCATGCAAAAAAAATATTAAATAATTTAATCGCCTCAATTTTCTGAGAAAATTACTTTTTGAAGTGCAACTTCTTTCCCGCTCGCTTGGGTGTAAATGCAAACATTAAGATTAGGATCAAGATTAAGACTGAGATTAGTATTAATATTGAGGTTAAGAATAAGACTGAGATTAGTATTAATATTAAGACTAAATTAAAGTTAAGAATAAAATAAAGTTAAGATTCATATAAAGAGTAATATTAAGATTAAGATTAATATTAAGACTAAGATTTAAATTAAGATTAAGATTAAGAGTAAAATTTAGATTAAGACTAAGATTATTATTAAGGATAATATTATGATTAGTGTTAAGGTTAAGAGTAAGATTAAGATTAAATTTAAGATTAAGATTAACTTAAAGATTGAGATTAAGATTGAGTTTAAGTTTAAGACTAAGATTGAGATTAAAGTTAAGATTAAGACTTAGACTAAGATTAAGATTAAGATGGGGATTAAAATTAACATTGAGATTAAGATTAAGGCAAAGATTAAGATTATGACTAACATTAAACTAAGATTAAGAGTAAGGTTAAGATTAACATTATGATTAGGGTTAAGCTTAAGATTAAGATTAAGAATAATATTGAGATTAAGATTAAGATTACAATACTAAGATTAAGGGTAAGATTAAGATCAAGATTAAGAGTAGGATTCTCATTAGGATTAAGATTAAGATTAAGACTTAGATTAAAATAAATATTAAGATTAAGACTAGGATTAAGATTGAGGATAATAGTAAGATTAGGATTCAGGTGAAGATTAAGATTAATATTTTGGTCAAGATTAATATTAAGATTAAGACTAAGATTAAGATTAATATTAAGATTAAGACTAACGTTAAGATTAAGATTAAGGTTAAGATTAAGATTAAGACTAAGACTAAGGTTAAGATTAAGACTGCGATTAAAATTTTAACTGTCTAATAAATAATTAGTAAGGATTAGACATGGATTAGTTATATGTGCCATTCTTCAGTAATAATGGTTTTGTGTGTTGCTGTTAATTACAAAAACCCATTCGTGTGCGTTTTTATCGACTTTAACATATTTATGTAGTAGAATGTCAGCT